TGAATTCCAATTCAGCAGTTTCTCGCTGGAGTCTGGATTTGAAGTTTTTTTGTTTTAAGATAGCGATCTTCATGTCTGTGATTGCGTGACCAGAGAGATTGAAGTGTTCTCCGACTGGTTTATGAATGTTATAATTCTTGACATCTGATTTGTGTCCATTTATTCTTTTACGTAGAGACTGTCCAGTTTGACCAATGTACATGGCAGAGGGGCGTTGCTGGCACATGATGGCATATATCACATTGGTGGATGTGCAGGTGAACGAGCCTCTGATAGTGTGGCTGATGTTATTAGGCCCTGTGATGGTGTCCCCTGAATAGATATGTGGGCACAATTGGCAACGGGCTTTGTTGCAAGGATAAGTTCCTGGGTTAGTGGTTCTGTTGTGTGGTATGTGGTTGTTGGTGAGTATTTGCTTCAGGTTGCGGGGCTGTCTGTAGGCAAGGACTGGCCTGTCTCCCAAGACTTGTGAGAGTGTTGGGTCATCCTTTAGGATAGGTTGTAGATCCTTAATAATGCGTTGGAGGGGTTTTAGTTAGGGGCTGAAGGTGACCGCTAGTGGCGTTCTGTTATTTTCTTTGTTAGGCCTGTCCTGTAGTAGGTAACTTCTGGGAACTCTTCTGGCTCTATCAATCTGTTTCTTTACTTCTGCAGGTGGGTATTGTAGTTGTAAGAAAGCTTGACAGAGATCTTGTAGGTGTTTGTCTCTGTCTGAGGGGTTGGAGCAAATGCGGTTGTATCGCAGAGCTTGGCTGTCCTAACTAGGGATCTGAATAGCGTTTAAAAAAGTAACCATTTAAACTACTGAAACTGTATCGGCTAAACATTTAATCATTAACAAGTTCACAATCTACCCCATGTACATATTACCTTTGTCAAGTGTCTTTACTAACAACAAAAATAGTCTTATGTGTAAAACCCACTTTTTTGTTTAACTTTTTACATAATATCCCCGAGCTGTCCAAAAACACAAAAAATCCAATTAGAATTTCAACTCTACTGCTGATTTTTGTTAAGAAAAATTAACACGTTTACATGCTCTGGTGTCAGTCTCATGCACAGATAAACAACAGTAAGGCGAGCATTGGAAACATGTTCTATAGGCATAGACAATGCTAGAATGCACAGGTATGTACATTCCAAGCCTTAAAAAACGCTGTGCAATGGACTGCATCACGCCAATGGACTGCATTCCAGTGAAGGACAAGGCTCCCTGAAATAACATTCCAGTTCATTTTCTACTGCATTCTCCTCATTGGTATAATCTTCACCTAAAAGCATCACTACAGCACTTCTCAGTTTCACACATTTTTTTCAGTGCTGGCTCTATCGGCTCATCCAATTCAGCCACAGCACTTGGAGGTGCTTCTATTTCTAACATTGATGCAAGTGCAGAAGCTTTGATTTAGCAGCCATCTGGACAACCAGCGAAAGAAACTGCATGTGTTTATGACATGGATCTAAAAAGGAGGCAATAAGTGCAGGTTTGGCAGTTATGGCCGGATCATTGGGTTTCATGTGATGCTCCAGAGTGTGACGAACAACAGCCCTGAAATCAGCAACTTTTCCATTTTCAACAGGAGCTTTGCTTTTGCGGTCAGTTTGGAGAAGATTGACTGTTCAGCAGACATGGCAGTTGTAGTGCATTTTAAAGTGGAAAGTAGCAATAAGATATCCTCTACTAATTACCAGTGCTCATCTTGCAGCTGAAGTGTTTGGGTATCAGATTGTTTTGTTATAGGGCTATCTGAAAGCGCAGCTGTTATAGCCCACCTTTGCTCACTGAGTCAGATGCTGAACATGTCATAAAACGAATTCTAGTGAGTTTTACATGACTGGATCGGACAGCATCGCCTACCCTGAAGCTGTGTTTGTTTTCTTTCGAGTGCTTTTGCAGTCACGGTGCTGTGGTGGCAGTGTGCACCTAGTCTACTTGCAGCCGCAACAGCACGATTCACGCTACTTGAAGAAAACTCATAATTTACGGCTAGCTGCCATGTACGGGCAAAACAATTGACAGATTCCCATGTAACATACCTCGGTGTGTTGGCGAACACAATGTTGCTTGCATTATCGTATATGCACACCAAGACACAGCCTGCCAGACCCTATCTTTCCACTGTAGCGTTTAATTTTTCAGCAAGGTTTTCCGCTATACGTCGTTCTGCCATACTTTTGGTTTGTAGAACCGTGGACTGAAGCTCCCAATTTTCAATATAATAGCAAGTGACAATCATGTAGCTTTCTGTAGTTAATGCTGTCCAGCAGTCGGTGGTGAAAGCTACTTTAGCAGTGTTTTCCAATTTTTCCTGGACAGATTTCACACAGTCCTCATAGCACTTCTCTAGTCAGAAGGTTATAGTCTGTCTCACAGGCACACAGTATTCACATTCTACCAAACTTATCAATGCACAAAAAACTGTATCCTCAACAACACTTGGAGGCAGCATATCTGTAGTGATCATGGTGCACAACACCTCAGTTAGTTTTTTGCCACTTTGTGTGTTGCATTTTCTTGAACTATCAGAAACACTGTCAGTGTTGTTTGAGTTTTGCCTTCTTTTTCACATGAAACAGAGGGATGTTTCAGCTTCAAATGGTTCAGCATTGCTCCGATGCTGTTTGCATACCTCAGCTCTGTCTTACGCAGTTTACATTTAACTGCATCTTCTGTTATTTTTGTGAAATGATTCCAGGCATTACTCCTTTTCGATCGCTCCATCTTCACTAGGGAAAAGTAGTTACCAAAAATCACGATAACCTACATGATGCTGTTTGAAGGTTTACTACCACCAAAGAGTGACATCAGTTCCATAGCAATGCTCCTAACAATGCAGAACCTAGTTCCACATACACTATGAAATGGTATTGCTGCGGCCTTTCTAATGTGCGCATTCGGTATTACGTCACAAAATTATTTTACCAAGCTGTTTTAAACATTTACTGAATACATTCGAAGTAAGACTAATGCTTATTGGTTAACCGTTTAATATTTTACATCCCTAGTCCTAACCTGTTGTAGCATTGCTGTGAACCATTACAAAAAAATTCAGCAATGTACCCCAAATGGCTGCATTTCAGTAGAGGGTGAAAACAATTCTTGTATATATGTATAGATGTACACAGGTGCTTTTTGTTCTGTATATTTGCAATATTAAAATACAATCATACTAAAAAAACAGAACAAATTCAGTGGAGGAATCTACTCCAGCCACATATCCCAGGCTCAGCAACATCTGAAAAATTGTAAAATGCTATGAGATCGTTCAGACTGAAAGACAAGAAACAAACTAAAACTGCTTCACCTCAGTATGTGGGGGTGAGCCCTTCAGAATGAGAATATACCTTAAAATGTGTAGCTGTTGCCTAATCTAATTTTAAAAGCAAACTCTCCCTTCACTAAATTATAGGTAAAATAAAGTTGTACCTTACAGCAGCTACGAAAGTATAGCCTGGTAGTCTAGAGCAGCAAACACTTCCAACCAGGAATCAATGTTTGAGAGTAACTATGCAGGAAACAATAGGAAACATTTAATTTAAAATCAGTTCCATCCTCTTTTCCTGAATAGTTAGCCATGAGACAAGGGCTATGGCTACACAGGCACTTTACAGTGCTGCAACTTTCTCGCTCAGGGGTATGAAAAAACACCCCCCCTGAGCGCAGCAAGTTACAGCGCTGTAAAGTGCCAGTGTGCGCCATGCTCCCAGCGCTCTAAGCTAATCCCCTCATGGGGGTGGAGCACCAGGAGCGCTGTCTCCCAGCACTGGCGCGTGACCACACTCACACTCCCGCGGCAGCGCTTTGAAGTTTCAAGTATAGCCATGCCCAAGGTGTAATTCCCTTTAAACTTGATTTATAGATCTTTTCTATTTCTCACACTAAAGTTTATATTAGACAATGAGAATTTAAGTTGTCACACTTGTATCAGATAGTTAAACAATTATGAAACTGAACCATAGTAAGTAAAAAAAAAAAAAAAAAAAAAAACTCTCCACACATAACCACTATCACAAACATTAAGTAAACACATCCCTCTAGAGCAGGGAAGTAGTATTACTACCAAGTTTACAAATGAGGCAAGGCACACAGAAATTAGCTTGATTTTCTAAGGAACTGGACCACTGCAGTCAACAGGAGCTGCAAGTGTTCAGCACCTCTGAAAATTGGGCCATAAGTAATTTGCACAGGGCTACCTAGTGACTCAGTGACCGAGTTGGGATTACATCTCAAACCACTAAAGACCTGACCCAAATCTTTCCATTAACTCTAGATACTTGTATCACAGCAACAAGTGTCCCAATTAAACTAGGCTAGTTAATACTGCCAAAAAAAGCTTACAAATTACAGCAATAATTTCCATGAAATGGTGAGATGAAAGGAGGAAATGAATTCCAAGAAGTGTGTGATCTTTGAATTCTCCACATCAAACCACAGATTTGATAAAAACAAGACGAACAGAGCTGCCTGACAGTGGTCTCTACAGGGAATCCAGATATCCCAGCGCTGGCACTGAAGACTTGGGACTGTGTCATGGCAGAGAATTCGGAAATCACTTCCTTTACCTCTTCCCACAGCCCAAGAGAAACATCTGGAACCAAAACTAAGGGCGCGTGTCCACCTGGCGTCACTCCTGAGGGACTCTCCCCGAGCAAGGCACCAGAAGACGCGAGATCGGTCAGGGGGAGCTCCGCCTGCAGACAAACCCTTACGCGCTCGGAAGCGGGGCCCGGAGTCCCCGGCGCTCCGGGCCGCGCCGCTCCTTGCCCCGCAGGGCGAAGGGGTGTGAGCGGCGAGGGACGCCCGGCTGCGGCTGGCTCAAGGCGCTCCCCGGGCCCGGCGCAGCAGTTCGGCGGGAGCACGGACTCGAGGCCGGGCAGCGACTCCCGGGGCGGGGCGGGGCGGGGGCTCCGCACCTCAGGCTCGCTGAGGCAGGTCCCTCCGTCAGGCGGGGCCGGGCCGAGCGGCACCAGCGGCCGGGGCTCCAGCCCCCGTCACTCACCTCGGGCGAGGCGGCGGCTGCCTCGGCCTGCTACGGGAACGCGGCGGCGTCGCTCAGCACATTCCGGGCCGGCGGAGGCTGCGGGGCCGCCCCTGAGGAACCAGCAGGCGCCACAGGCCCAGACACCGACTCCCGGCGACCCCGCAGCAAGCTGCCGCCCCATAGGCTCCCCGGCCCCACGTGACACCCGGATCGCCGTCGTTGCCGGAACTGTTCGCGCATGCGCACCAGCTGATTCTCGGGGGTTGGCAGCGGCCAGAGCGCAGAGCGGCGGGGGGGCCGCCCGTGCTGTGAGCGCCCCGCCAGTGAGAGGCAGCTGTAGACCCGCGGCCGGCCCGCTACAGCACTAGCCTCAAGGCTCTGCGCCTGTCCCTGGGGCGCGGCCGACCTGAGCAGTGTCTGCGACTGCTTCCCCTCCCCCCACCCCAGCTGCCAGATGCTTCGCTCGGGAGTTGGCCCTGGGCAGCAGCGCCCCCTGCTGGGCGCATCTCCAGGAGCAACATTAAAGCACTGCCCGTTAAACCACCTCCAGGAGGGGACTAGCTAGCAGTGCTGGTGCACTGTCCACCCTGGCACTTTAAAGCACTGAACCTTGCAGTGCTCCGGGGCGTGTTTTTTACCCACAGAAAGCTTAAGCCCAAATAAATCTGTTAGTCTTTAAGGTCCCACCAGACTCCTCGTTGTTTCTGTGGATACAGACTAACACAGCTACCCCTTTGATACAAAACACTTTAATGTAGCTCATGCATAATTCAGATTTCTCTCTAGGTCCAGAGTCAAAATCATGCATTCATGGAGACTTTTAAGATGAACATCTCCCCTTCATGCCTCCGGAAGATCTGGATGACCTTGTAAACTGGAGTAATAGGACTAGGATGAAATTTAATAGTGAGAAGTGCAAGGTCATGCATTTAGGGATTAATAACAAGAATTTTTGTAATAAACTGGGGATGCATCATTTCAAAGTAACAGAGGAGGAGCAGGACCTCAGAATATTGGTTGATCACAGGATAACTATGAGCCATCAATTTGATATGGCTGTGAAAAAAGCTAATGCGGTCTTGGGATGCATCAGGTGAGGTATTTCCAGTAGAGATAAGGAGGTGTTAGTACTGTTATACAAAGCACTGGTGAGACCTCATCTGGAATATTTTGTGCAGTTCTGGTCTCCCATGTTTAAGAAGGATGAATTCAAACTGGAACAGGTACAGAAAAGGGCTACTAGGATGATCCGAGGAATGGAAAACCTGTCTTATGAAAGGAGACTCAAAGAACTTGGCTTGTTTAGTCTAACCAAAAGAAGGCTGAGGGGAGATATGATAGCTCTCTATAAATATATCCGAGGGAGAAATACCAGGGGGGGAGAGGAATTATTTAAACTCAGTACCAACATGGACACAAGAACAAATGGATATAAACTGGCCATCAGGAAATTTAGACTTGAAATTAGGCAAAGGTTTCTATCCATCAGAGGAGTGAAGTTCTAGAACCACCTTCCAAGGGGAGCAGTAGATGCAAAAGACATATCTAGCTTCAAGACTAATCTCGATAAGTTTATGGAGGAGATGGTATGATGGGCTAGCCTAATTTTGGCAATTAACTGATCTTCAACTATTAGCAGTAAATATGCCCAATGGCCTGTGATGGGATGTTAGATGGGGTGGGATCCGAGTTACTACAGAGAATTCTTTCCTGGGTGTCTGGCTGGTGAGGCTTACCCACATGCTCAGGTTTAGCTGATAGCCATATTTGGGGTCAGGAAGGAATTTTCCTCCAGGGCAGATTGCCTTCCTCTGCAGCGTAGGGCATGGTCACTTGCTGGAGGATTCTCTGCATCTTCAAGTCTTTAGACCATGATTTGAGGACTTCAATAGCTCAAACTATTAGGGGTTTGTTACAGGAGTGAGTGGGTGAGATTCTGTGGCCTGTGTTGTGCAGGAGGTCAGACTAGATGATCATAATGGTCCCTTCTGACCTTAAAGTCTATGATTCTGTGCCCACGCACTGGGAAAACACAGCCTGACAGAATTTCTCTGATGAAAGAGCTGTGTCATTGGAACTTTGTAAATGTACCTTGGAAGAATTTATTACAATCACAAAGCTGACATACATAAACTTTTGCAGTGAGATAAGTTAATGCATTTTAACGTAAATAGAGACCCTTTTACAAGCCCCTTGCACCCCATAAGCCTCTGCTCCAGGAGCCATAGTGCTTCAAAGGTGGCTCAATGGCAATTAGTGCAGAGGTGTATGGGACAAATGACAGGATCTTGTTACGAGTGAGCAAATGGGCAGATGACTATGGACAACTGCTAATGACGAAAGGGTCACCATGCATAAACTGAGCACTGCTGCTGTAAGCTATCTTGCTAGGATCTTTCTAAGAACTGTGCAGATCACTACATGATAAACAGAAGATCATGTAAGCCCTTCCTGTGCCAGATGCAGTTTGATGCAACAGTGGCTGCTCTCACTATTCTACTCAGTCTACAGTAAACTTTGCCTTTTAAAGTTCAGCCAGTGGCCAGAATGGTCCCCAATACACAGCAAGAATCCATCACGAACATTTTGGTTTTGAATGGAGAGAGCATCATGGGACATTCTACACTTGTTGAATACCATAATCAAAATTACTACAAACTTCACTGACATCAGAGATGTGTAAATGACATGCCAACCGTCTTAACATAGGAACAAGAGCAGGGGCTCTCAACCTGTTTTCTTTCTGAGTCCCCCCCACCGTGCTATAAGAATTCCACAGCCAACATGTGCCACAACAACTGGTTTTTGGCAAATGCAGTAGATTAATAGCCAGGGCTGGCCTTAGGTGGTAGCAAGCAGGGCAATTGCCCAGAGACCCACACCATGGTGGGGCCCCATGAAGCTAACTTGCTCGGTCTTTGGCTTCAGTCCCAGGCTTGGACTTTAGCTTTCTGCCCTGGGCCCCAGTGAGTCTAATACTGGCCCCGCTCTCTGGTTTATTTTGATAGCCCCCCATAAACCTGTTCATGCCCTCCCAGGGGACTCCAGGCCCCTTGTTAAAAACTGCTGAACGAGAGTATTTAAATTCCTTCTAGAACCAGTTGACAGCAGCATGGAATCCAGATATGCATCATCATGCTATGCATATCCAGGACACCCTTTCTCAAACCCAAATCATCAGGAGGTAGAGGTTAATGGTCCCTCCACCATAACAAAAGTCCCCATTCATTTGGTAGGTTAATTGTCTGCTGACACCATCTAATTTGAAACTATAATCCTTCAAAGGGATGATGATAGGAAAGGTCTAAAGTAAGGTTTTTAATTTGAGTGTCTGAAATAGGTCAGAGATACAAAACAAGAAAGAAATCCAAGAGTTTTAATTTAAAAAAAAAAATGGAGTCCCATCCTTGAGCACAAATTTTGGAAAACAGGCTGCAGACAATTTAAAATCAATTAACTACAGGTAAAAACAAAATAAACATGGGTGTTACACATCAAGGTTATCACCACCTCTACTTCCCCCTTTCAAGTAATCTTTTAAAGGAGATATGGTACAATGTGTATTGATAAATATCTTTTCATACTCCTTTATGCTCAGTAGTTCTTAGCTTCAGGACCTTTTCATCTTGTTGCAGCTTCTACCAAGTGATTAATTTTATCTTTCCAGGGAAAGAGAAGTAGACAAACATCAGGATTACTCTCCAGTTGTAATTTATTGAGTGAATTACAAGTGCCAAGCCCCAGCTTCCATCTCTTTGTCCTTTGATTTTAGTGTGTAATTGGATAACTATTATTGCCACACATGACATCTGAAATATGTATAAAGAAATAAAGTGATTGACTCCTAGAAAAAGGATGCCCTTGCTTCCTTCTAAAGCCAATGAAAGGGGCTTAGAGAATTTCACTGTGCTAGAAAACTACCCAATTCTGAGTGGGGATACATTATGTATTTCACTGCAGTGATACAGAAGACAAACGTATTATCTTGACTAGAACACTTTTCCACAGAGTACACCATTTCTAATTAAAAGCCTGTGGTACTGGTACTTCTCTGGAACAACATCAGTATGTATTTTTTGTGTGGCTGCAAATTAATTGCAGTAAAAGGTTAAACTGGTAAACATCAGTAACTAATTTGTTGCAGTAAGCTGTTGATCCGTTTTTGCCAACCAGCATTAGTTAGTGATACCAGATTTGATCTCTACATTTCACAAATTTGTTCATTTGAACATGTGAAAAGGATATTCCAGAGGCCTACCAAAAAAACACAAGGAGGTTGCAATTGCAAAGGAAGTAAGTTCCTTCCTAGCAGAGGGCTAAAAAAAATTGGATTTGCTGAACACCATTTGAGAGATAAAAGTGAGGCAAGCGACCCCTTCTCACTCTTTTCTTTAGTGGTTTCCTCTCAAAGGAAGTGCTACCCTCCCCTACACCTTGCACGTCAGAAGCAAGCATTCGCAATGCCAAAAATATACAATGGATACAAATGTTTACAAAGAGAAAGAACAGGGGCAAGGGACTAACTTGCAAGTCTTGGTATGGTTTTCTCTCTGTCCCTCACAAATGAGAAGGAGCAAGAAAGTAGATGGTCTCCCTACAGAGTCAGACACGTGTACATGTGAGAAACACCAGATCAAGAAATACAGTGGTACTGCTCATTAGAGGAGTTAGAGTTGATATTAAAAAAACCCATACATTCCAGAGGGCTTGTTTTTGTCTCTCATCCATAAATATGGATTAATAAGAAATTGTCCATGTTTAGGGCTAGAGCAGCCTAGCATCTGCTTCTCCCCTACTCCTGAAGAAACTCACACAACACAATATTAAAGAGGAAAATATGGTTCCATAAATGTTTGGTTTCCTCTGTAAGGCTTCCCCAGTCAGGGAAAAATGTGTGCACATTGTACAGTTTCAGTTAGGTTCTTTAGCGAATAGGCCTGTATGGGAAAGTCATGCCTGGTATAAATGTCTGCACAGGATGGGCTGGGAGTGCTGGATGAGCTGGATGTGCAGGCAACGCAGGGTGTGCTGCATGTGCAGGATAGCCCAGCGGAGGGGTGTGGATATGAGGATAAAATCCTGGTGGCAAAGCAGCATGGGTTGGTTGTTGCACTGGACCTGAAATCACCAGCTGGAGTAGGCTGCGAAAAGAAGATCCAGATAGATGTAAGTATTACTCCAATAATAAATTGTCCGAACAAGGAGCAGTTTGGCAGAAGTCCTGCTCCATGACAAGAAGAGTCACTAAAAAGCCCCTGCCAATGCGTAGCAACAAACACTGGAAAGTGCCTTAGGGAGAGATGGTGGCATTATGCTTATGACATCCTGCAGACTGATGTGTATGGTGCAAGGTACATGCACAGTGATATTTCTCAAAGGACCACTGTCCATGACAATCAACGGAGTTAAGTATTTTCAGTAATCCTGTT